TATATATATATAGAAAAAATTAGCTGGGCATGGTGGCACATGCCTGTAGTCCCAGCTACTTGGGAGGCTGAGGCAGTAGGACGCTCTTTCAGCCAGGTGGACTAGCACAGCCTGTCTGCGGTGGTGAAGATGATGTTGAGCAGAGACCTGGGGGTAGAGGGGAACGAGCCTTGTAGTACTTAGGAAAGAAATTGAGAAGGCAGCAGCAGGAGCGGGCTTGCTCTTGAAGGAAGAAGGAGGAGGCCATGGTGGATGGACAGAAATAGACAAGACATGGGAACAGCGTGGTAGCCACTCCAGGCTTCGAACAGTATTCCAAGTTGAGATCAGAAGTCAGTAGACATTTTGAGTACAGCAGCCACATTTGTGTTTTCATTTTAAAAAGTGTCTCCTTGGCTACTATGTGTAGAAGGACCATGGAGGAACCAGGGAAGAGCCAGCATGACTGCTCAGTCTTGTACAGCAGTCATCACTGGAGGCTGCTTGGGCCAAGTCTGTACCTGTCGAGGTGAGGAGGGTGGTAGGATTTGGAAAATTCCAGTTTGAGAAGACATATCCCTCAATGCCATCTCCCAGAGAGGGTGGGGAGGCTGAGAAGAGTTCGAGAGTTGGGTCCTGGTCGCTTTAACATTAGGGACATTCGGACATTAGGAGAATGATAAAGATCCATCAAAGGCATCAGAGAACAAGCAGCTAGTGAGGAAAGAGAGAAAAAAAATGTTAATGACATTATAAAAACCAAGTGCAGAAAGTGTTACAAATAGAATTGAGGTATTGCCTGATTCCAATGCAGTTGATTGGTTGAGTATGATAGGAACTGATTAATTTTTCAGATGGTAATATTAAATACTTTTCAAGCTGGTGATTATTCTATGTTCTCCCCTACTGACAACTATTTCTTTTTTTTCAATTGTAGTAAGGAATTTAGTATGAGATTTACCCTCTTAACAGATTTTTATGTGTATGATATATTAAATGTGTACACATTAAAACGTGCTGTACACATTAAAGTGTATAACAGATACAATATTGGACATCAGATCTCTATAACGTATTCATCTTCAGTAACTGAGATTTTATACATGTTGGTTAACAGCTCCCCTTTTTTTAGTGTTTAAACTTTGGTAAGATTCCTTCTTGTCTTGCCTCCTCCAATCTCAATATTTCTAATCCTCTATCCCTATAATGTATAAATACAGAACATTTCCAGGAGATGCCAGATACCAAAGCTTGCTATGAAAACAAGTTGAGTTTTAATCATGATTCTTAAATAACAGGTCTGAGTTGAGGTCCTTTGGAAAAATGCAGTTCACTATAGTTATACTCAAGAAAATCAAAAGGTTGTCTAAACTGCTCCTGTGATTTACTATAATTAGCATAATAGAGTTGCCTAAATTCATATCATTTGCTAAATGTTTTAAGACTTTTAAAGTTAGTACTATGTTCAATAATTATGTTAATCAACACATACCAATCATTATTTAAAGATCTTTCTCTAATCTCTCTTTTCTTTTCAGAAAAATGTGATGAGCCTCTGGTCTCTGGACTGTCCCATGTAGCTTTCAGCAGCTCTTCCTCCATGTCAGGCAGCTATTCTCCCGGCTACGCCAAGATAAACAAGCGAGGAGGTAAGGAAAATCGTGATTTCTTTGTCAATACATGTGTTAGATAAGATAGTATTATATTTATGACTACATTTTAAAAGTACATATTATCACACAACAGATGTTAGCAGGCACCCAAAATTATTCTTGCCACTTCTATGAAAAGATCCCTAGATACTATAAACCGCTCATGTAGTTTCTATTGGTGAATAACATAGAAAAATTTAGGCTGGAAGTGAGAGATGGTAAGTCAAAGTGGAAGAAATTTTGGAGTTTCCTGTGGCAATAAATTGAAAATGGCACAAACATT